TGCAAGTGATTACAACTTACTTCTGGCTGTTTGTGGTAAGGCTCTCCTTTTTTATCATATTGTACTAGCCCTTGGTTTGTCCAGCTTGGTAAGGAAAAGGAATGGGGATGAGTGCTTCCCATTTCCAAGAAATGAGCCAGTTGCCTGACCCAGAAAGGGTCGCATTCCTTTTGGAGGAGCAATCTTAGGGTGCTCCTGGATCCAATTTTGTTGCTGAAGGCCCAGATGAAATATAACCTTTTGCTAACTTCAGCTGATACAGCAGCCATGGCCATTCCTGGACCGGGATAGCTTGACCCATAGCAGACCCATAACTTCACAACTGAATGACTGCTATGCACTCTTTGTGGGGCACCCCTTATGGTTGGTCTGATTGCTAACAGGAGTGAAATCCTAGACCACATTATGCTTCAAGATCTGCAGTAGCCGCCGGATTGCTGAGTGGGCCAAATTCAATCTTTTACTATTAGTATATAAAGCCATTAAGAATTTGGAAACCGTTTACTTGAGAGAGCACCTACGGTACATACCTATTTGACCACTTTGATCTGCAGAACTTGCACAGATACAAATGCTATATCATGTTTGTTGCACATTTGTGAGAAGTCAGTATTTCAATGTGACAGCAAGCACCTTCATTATACTGATTTAGATGCCTACTAAAACATTTTTATTTCTACAAGCGTATTTGCACATATCTTTTACTTGATTGTTGGGTTTTTTAATGCTGATCTTCTCTGGCTGTTATTAATAGTCATTGCTTTATGTCCACTGCTCAGAGATTTTATCAGTTCTCCTAAATAAGCAAACTGAGATGTTGTACACTAATCTTTTTGCTCACTCAACTCTGTAATGTAGAAATGGAGAAATGAATTTGTGTCATGGAATTCCTCTGACTTCTGTGGCATTACCCATCTCACTCTCCCAGCGGATAAATTCTGGATCCCTGAAATCTCTATAGAAGAACAGTAAGGATCATTTATTCCATTGGCAACTTATTTAAAGCAATGCTTATGTTGATTTCTCCCCTTCCCTCCCAAAAAAGCTTTAGCAGCTCCAACCTTCTGGATACTAAATAAGTGTTGTTTGCTGATAAAATGATGGTTTAAGCTTTGGGAAACACCCACAAATAGTTAGATGAAGTTAGAAAATTTAAAATTCATGCTAGAGAGTAAACAAATGGCTATATTGGTGGTAGCAATGGTGATAAGTTACCGGTAATTAGACTTGTTAGTTACTAGTTACCCAAAGGTCTCCAAGTGACTTGCAACACATTTGAAAACATTAAAATAAAATAAATAAATTGAGTCCACAGCTCCCTTAACCAACTACGTTCTTTCTGTGGCACCCCTGTGGGGCTCAGGAGCCCAGTTACAGGAGCTGGCAGCCCCTCACCCCTTTTCAAACACCCTCCCTTGTGGAGTGTTCCCTCAGCCTCTTCTCCCCTCTCCTTGGGAGTCCTCCGGGCAGCTGGTCTCTGAGCTGCCCCCCACCCCACCCCAAAGAGAGGTGCCTCCCAGAGGCACCATTTGCCTGGGGAGCTTGCAGCCAGGGCTGCTGCAACAAACAGCCATGCAAGCCTTTGGGAGGCAGAGGCGCGAGAGGGCATCAGAGGAGGGAGGGAAGGAAAGAGGGGCAGAGGCCAGTGTTGCCCTGCGGCACCCCTGACCGTCATTCAAGGCACCCCAGGGCGCCATGACACACTGGTTAAAAATCACTGCATTATACCATAAAAGCAAAACAACCCCCACCGGAAAACTATAGCAACACACTAGTAATGGTGATGTCTTCCCTCTCCCAACTATCTGGGGCATTTGTGGTCTTCAGTCAATTTTGATCCCTGGAGTGTTTGCCTACTTTGATACTTCACATGAGTTTGGTTTAGACAAAGGTAAACACAATTGATTTCTGCCGGACAGAGGTAAGAGGATTTTAATTCTCCTGCTGAAATCGTCAGTGGGGTGTAAACGTACTTAATTCTGCCTGGCCAGCTGCTTCCAGATCTTGAAAAGCTCAGATACTTTTAAGAGCTGTGGAGAATGTAAGATTCTGTGTGACTTATCCCATCCACTAAAATTAATACCAGCCGTTTGGGTCAGATCTGTAGCTCTGTGGCATTAATTTGTGAGGCGGCATGCGTTGTATTCTCTTGCTCTCTGTGCTTCTCCCACCCACCCACCACTGACCTGCTTATGCTTTTGTTGATGAAGAGAAAAGGAGTATATCACAAATGAATCTCAGCTGTCATTCTGCACAGTACAAGCGCTGCTCCCTGCACTGAGCCACCTTCATGGGTGACTTGAGCTTGTCGTCTCCCTTTTCAATTCTTGAGGGAGTAGCAGTGTTAAAACTGTTGCCCTTGGACTAATCCATAAGGAAATGGCAGGAGGGAGAGGGAGAGACAGTCAGGCTGCGATTGGCAGGGAGGGAACTTAACCCGTTCCTCTTGCGCAGTGTATTTTCAACACAAAAAGAACCTCTCTTCAGATTTCAGCCTCAATGCATGACTGTTAGGGGTGCTGCTGACAGGGGGGAAGATGTGGCGGGCGACAGGGGGCCAGGACTCCACCCTGGGACTGTTATGTTGTAGGCAAGAATTACATGCCCTAAGTTTACTATAGAAGTATTTAACTGGAGGTTACTACAAAGACTAGCAAATAGGATGAGATGGGGGAAATACGCCAGAGAGAGAGAGAGAGAGAGAGAGAGAGAGTTCCAGAACTGTCTGCTTTAACTTCACATTTTCAGTTCCTTGTTAATACTGTTTATATTACCAGCACCTTATAAATTACTGTGCAACCTACTTGTAATGTGCTTTAAATATTCCAGTCTTTAGGATTGAGGGCTCCTCCAAACTGGTGTTTTTTACAGGTGTATTCTGTAACGTATTATTAACATAAGAATAGTGCCTCAGCTGTGGATTTCTACACATCTCTCAGCGTTATTGGTTGTTCTGTGATTTCCCCCCAATGTTATTGCACTATTGCCGTCTGGAGGGGCACTCTTTTGCTATAGCGCAACAAAACCAAGACGAAACGAAAAAGGAACATTTAATGGTGCAAAAAGTCGCAGGATTCCAGCGGGAAGCCACAGGACATGCACTGATTAGAAATAAAGCAGCCCAGGAACTATTGCATGTGCAAATAGTATTAAAAACACTATCACATATAACCAACCCAATACCAAATAATCAAAAATGCATAGAAAGAGAAAAAGACATTGGGATGGTGAGGGGTAGGGAAAGCAAACTTCAGCTGCGAAAGGGTTGCCTGAACTAAAACAAGTGATTCCAAGCCTGTTGCTTAATCTCTTGGGCCTTAATGGCAATGTTTCAGGGCCAATGAAGAGAAGTCCAGAACCAGCCCATTCCTTCGCGTTTCTTCCAGTGGAGACATGATGCAGCACCAGGCTTTTCACCTGACATCATCTTGCAGTCTGCACATCTTCACCTTTCCTTTTGATAAGCAGGCTTGCAACATAACTGTGCTCTCCCCCATGCATTCAGGTAAGCCGTAAACAGCACATTATTCTCTCGAGTACGATTGCTGCTTGACATTGGCGCCAACTTGAACAAAATATTGGGGCGCGCCCCCACCCCCACCAGCACAGCCTCCCAAACAAATGTTGCTTCCCCTTGACTCCACCTGTTTTGATGACAGGTGCAAAAGAAAAGGGGGAGGGGAAAGTAAGACACCACACCATGGTTGAGGGGAGGGATTTTGTTGCACAGTAGCCCCTAATCTGCTTTAATTGCACAACCAGAATTTGCTGGTATGAAAATTGATCCCACCCACAAAATGGCAGAAGTCTGGAAGTGGCCATGGTAGGAGGACGTTTTAGCCCGTAAGGGCACAAGAAGAGTCCTGATGGGTCAGACCAAAGGCCCAGCGGCGTAGCGTGGGTTGTCAGCACCCGGGGCAAGGCAAGTAATTTGCGCCCCCTAACCCGTGGATTTGCGCCCCCTAACCTGTGGATTTGCGCCCCCTAACCCGTGGATTTGCCCTAACCCCAGATGTTGCGCCCGGTGCGGCCGGCCCCCCCTGCACCCCCCACGCTACGCCACTGCAAAGGCCTAACTGGCCCAGAATCCCATTTCCCACAGCATCCAATCAGATGCTGACGGGAAGCCTGTAAGCAGGACGTGAGGAAACAGCACTAAGCAACAAGCATGGCTTTTCCTGTCCTCGTTGCAGTTCTATTATACAGTGGTACCTCGGGTTACAGACGCTTCAGGTTTACAGACACCACTAACACAGAAATAGTACCTCGGGTTAAGGATGAGAGCAGAAATCGTGTGGTGGTGGCACGGCGGCAGCAGGAGGCCCCATTAGCTAAAGTGATGCCCCAGGTTAAGAACAGTTTCAGGTTAAGAACAGACCTCTAGAATGAATTAAGTTCTTAACCCGAGGTACCACTGTACAACACACACACGCTGCTGTTAGCAACCGAGGAAAGCATATACCGTATATTTTGCACTATAAGACTCACTTTTTCCCTCCTAAAAAGGGGAAATGTGTGTGCGTCTTATGGAGCGAATGCAGGCTGCGCAGCTATCCCAGAAGCCAGAACAGCAAGAGGGATTGCTGCTTTCACTGCGCAGCGATCCCTCTTGCTGTTCTGGCTTCTGAGATTCAGGTTTTTTTTTCTTGTTTTCCTCCTCCAAAAACTAGGTGCATCTTGTGGTCTGGTGCGTCTTATAGAGCGAAAAATACAATGTCATTGGGGGTTTTTAGGCACCTGCAGCATCTCCTGCCAAAAAAAGAGGGAAATGTAATTTACCACATATAGTACCAGAAAATAGGAAACTGTCCCTGATAAATATGAAGAGTTGGCAAATATGAGTTAGCATTGCTGAATTATTACTATATCGCACAAAGCATTTTAAGAGTTTAGGTCTCCTTTGTTTGGATGGTGGAGTGGGGAGGTTATGGAGAGGCTACAAGGAAAACAGAACCCCATCTTAAGCTGCTGTCCCTTTGTTTTTCTCTCACTCCAGATAAGGAAGTGAAAATGTTGGACAAAACGTTTTCCACTAAATTGGATGCCAAAGATCGCAACCTATACTTAACCAACGGGGAGTGGAAGTACAACAACATCATTGTTTCCCGTGATACCATGACTGGTCTTGAGATGAACTATAGTACGGTGACTTACCAGGTATATAAGACTGATGAGTTGCTCATCAGGTCTTTGACTTCCATTGTTTAACAGGAAACATTCTGCAGATTGCATTGTTTCAATGAAATGTTGTTGTCGCTACGGAGGATTCTTCTTCAAGAAATACCGTTAAGTCACTGGTGGTCACAACGTGTGGCATAAGAGCCCAGAAACAGAATACTGATCACCTCGGGGACTCACTATCCCCAATTATGTATTACCCATTTCATTTTAGATCCTATGGAAGAGACAGATTGTGAAGTAAAATAATACCCTCCAATTTTCCAAAGGCGGTCCCAGAATTACGAAAGCCATCCCAGCTTCTGATTTGATCCCGGAATGTCTCTACTCCCCTGGCAGCACATCCACCACCGAGCTTGGGGGGAGAGGGGAGAATGAGCCGGTGCTTGTTCCAAGTGACAATTATGGTGGCAGTGGTGGCTGTGAGGGAGCCTCCCATTGCCTCTCTATAGCCGCTGCTGCTGGCCTCCTCCTTTGGGCCGCTCACAGTAGCTCCTGGAGAGCAGGTGAGGAGAAGAGGCTCAGTGTGGTGTAGTGGTTACGAACGGTAGACTCATAATCTGGTGAACCGGGTTCGATTCCCCGCTCCTCCACATGCAGCTGCTGGGTGACCTTGGGCTAGTCACACTTCTTTGAAGTCTCCCAGCCCCACTCACCTCACAGAGTGTTTGTTGTGGGGGAGGAAGGGAAAGGAGATTGTTAGCTGCTTTGAGATTCCTTCAGGTAGCTGCTTTGAGACTCCTTCAGGTAGCGATAAAGCGGCATATCAAATCCAAACTCTTCTTCTTCTTCTTCTTCAGCCCCATATGACATATCAGCTGTGAGGGGCAGGCAGAGGGCAGGGCTGCCCTGGGTGGGCAGATAGGCAGAGCAGAACACAAGGAATCTTGATTATTATTTTTTAATCCTTTGTGTCCATGCCCCTTTCTAAAAAAATTTTATTGCTGTTTTTCTTTTGGTAAATCTACCAAAGAATAAAATAAAATTGGGATTACAGAATTTTCTCAGCGGGGGGGCGGGTCTGTGTGCTGTGTCCCTTTTGTGTAGTGGTGGCACTTGTCCTCCTTCTGACAGGAAATGCTCTGCGGGGGGACACCACAAAATGGGGCATCGAGGAGGGTAAATTGGGGGGAATGAGAAATGACCCTACTTTCATCTGAGTAATGTTGGAGGGTATGAGTAAAATGCCGATCAGATGCCTGGACCACAGTCTGGAGAAGGGAATGGCCTTTATTCTAAGAAAGCATGGGATTTCTTGGATGTTTATAATTTGGGCTTCCTTAATAAGAAGATGGAGTTGTTATGCAGAGGTGTTCTTTGTGCAGGAAGTGGGGAGGTGGCTGAGCACACAACCTGAAACATGACTCAGCATCTTCTGCAATGCATGATAGATCCTTGACAGAAAAGTCAATGCAGAAGGATTGTCTGAAGGAAAAAGCTGGAAGAGCCCCTAGCCTCAGTGACCCACTGGAACACCTGTTTCGGTTCAATGGGAGGGGGGGGGGGATAAACAACCCCTAGCTGTCAAGTTTTGAAAATTAGGGGATGACTCCATGTTGCAATCAAATCCCACTTGCGTTTGTTGTTGTCTTCAAGCAGTTTGATGTGTTTTTAATCTCTCAACAGATTTTTATGCAGAGGCGTCCTATTCTGTATGTGCTGAATCTGATCATCCCAACCGCTGTTCTCTTCTTCCTGGATATGGCTGTTTCCTTCACTTCTGCCAGTGATTCTGAAAAGATCAACGTCAAGATCACATTGATCCTAGAAGTCTCTTTTTTGTCGCTGATTCTAAATAGTATTCTGCCAGCGTCCTCAGATGACCCCCCTATAATAGGTAAGCAATAGTAATTTCAAGTGGACGTATAATCAACTCGCGCTGCCAGGAAACAAAGTATATTATATATGAGCTATATTATAGAATACTCTCTTGTCCTGAGGAACCTTCACAGCGCAATCCTATGCATGTCTACTCAGAAGCAACTACTAAATTCAGTGGGCTTACTCCCAGATAAATAGGTATAGGATTACAACCTGGGATATCCTTCTGGCAAAACTTTGCACAAGGCAAATCTAGCTAGAAGACATGGGCTGATATTTTGCAATCAGTACTGTGGCTGTGTACACACCAGAGGTACCAGAGCCTGGGAGCCGAGCCCTTTTGGGTTCCCTGAATATTTTTGTGGTGGGGGTGGACACAATGTCTGAAAAGGGTGGAGGCAAAGCGCAGAGCAAAGTGCAGCATGGTGCCAGGGGCCAGCTCCTTCTCCTCCTGCTGATGCTTTGGAGCAGGGGTCAGCAAGGTTTATCTTGCCTAGGCTGGGTCAGTCCCGCAGAGATCCCTCCATGGGCCGGATTACACACCCGCCTGATTTCCGGTCTGTGTGTGCGTGCCTGCGATTTCTGGCACCGCAGAAGTGAGTCCCTACGCCGTGTTGCGCCAGTTTAGCACAGCGTGGGAGCGGGCACCCCAGTTCAGGGGTGGCTCGTGGGCCGGTCAAACGACTTCCATGGGCCACTTCCAGCCTTAGGTTGCTGACCCCTGCTTTGGAGGGAAAGGAGGGTCAAAGAAGCCTCCCATCAGTGGTAGAAGGCAGAGGAGGAGCCACCAGCCATTGAAGCTGTTGGGCCGCCACATCTGGCTCTGCCCCAGCTGCTTCCAACATCCCACGTGTGTAACATGGGCTCCCCAATTGCCCTCACAAGCTGGCCACTCTAGTATACACCATGCCTTTAAAGCACATTCGAAACACATGCTTTCCCTCAAAGAATTTTAGGCAATGTAAGTTTGCCCTCACCGCATTACCATTCCCAGCACCCCTTAGAAAACTGCAGTGGTACCTCGGGTTACAGACAATTCAGGTTACAGACTCCGCTAACCCAGAAATAGTGCCTCGGGTTAAGAACTTTGCTTCAGGATGAGAATAGAAATCGTGCAGCAGTGGGAGGCCCCATTAGCTAAAGTGGTAAGAACAGTTTCAGGTTAAGAATGGACGAAATAAGTTATTAACCCGAGGTACCACTGTACAATGCCCAGAATTCTTTGAGGGAAAGTATGTGCTTTAAATATATAGTATTTGTGTAAATTAAACAGTAGCTTTTCTTTGCCTAAGTTAGGGTTGCCATATTTCAAGAAGTGAAAATCTGGTTTTAAAGCTTTTTTTTTGGTATTTTTTTCAGAAATTCACCCAAAAAATAAACAACACTTCTGATATTGGCTGCCATATACTTGGGTTTCCCCAGACATTTTAACCAGTTTGCAAAAATTCCACCCAGATGCCATTTTTGACGGACAAATCCTGGTTATTCCCAGAAAATTCTGAATGTATGGCAGACCTACCTAAGTGTATTCTTGATTTAAAAGCGTCCTAATAAGAAGGTTCCAATATAAATCAACTTCCTGCTTCTTAATGCTTCTTTGGGTTGTACCCAGCTAAATCACTCTGTGCACAGAGCAGCATCCGTGAGCACAATGGAACTTATCCTCCCTCTCCTACCCCTGCCCCAAATCTGCTAATGGGGTTCCCCCTACCCTTATGCCTTGTAGAAATTTCAAATAACCAGATGAAATCACTTTGAGACTGAGACACAAAGGTCTTATTGGAGTGGATCTAGTTACTGGCATGTCTCGGCTGGGAATGCAAGGTTATAGAAGCTAGTGCTAAGCCACCATCTATTTTTGGGCACTTCCATACTAGGCGTTTAGTGTGGAATAGCCAAGCTGTGTTCATTCACTGTTTTCAGGGCACACACATGATGCTATTGTCCAATCACAGTTGCCCTGTATTTCCCCATCTATTCCCCAGCAGCTACATCATGCCCAGTGTGATGTGAACAGAACTTAGGAGGTACAAATAGAAAAAGTGAAATGCTCCTAACACTGTTAGGAAAGTCAGAGTCCTTCTACTTGCAGCTTATAATGGAAAAGTAATTCTTTGATAGCGCTAGGAAAGATCCATCTAACATCCTTTCATTTTGCAGCGAAATTTTTCATGGGAGTTTTCCTGCTGATGGTTGTCAGCCTCCTTGAGAATTATGTGACAAGGTCTCTGAAGGAGATGAAACCTCCCCGTTGGTTCCTCAAATGCGAGAGACTCATTTCCTCCAGGAGAAAAAAGAAAACATCTGAAAAATACGTTCCTTATCCTGGTCAGTAATCCTGGTCATGAGAAATTAATACTTTGATTGAACAGCCCCAAACCCATAAATTGCAGCACAGCAGGTCAGTGTTTCATGGCATCCAAGATCAGATCAACCTGTGAATGGTCTGTTTCCTTTGCATTTGTGAGCACAAAAGGCTGACAGCATTTACACACACACACACACACACACACACACACACACACTTAAAATTGTACAAGTTGAGAGAGAATAGTGAACAGCAGCCAGCACAGAGAGAGGGAGGGAAGGTGTAAATTACATACAGTGGTACCTCGGGTTATATACGCTTCAGGTTACATACGCTTCAGGTTACACACTCCGCTAACCCGGAAATAGTGCTTCAGGTTAAGAATTTTGCTTCAGGATGAGAACAGAAATCGCACAGTGGCTGCAGCAGGAGGCCCCATTAGCTAAAGTGGTGCTTCAGGTTAAGAACAGTTTCAGGTTAAGAACGGACCTCCGGAACGAATTAAGTACTTAGCCCGAGGTACCACTTTATGCCAAAATATGCAGAAGGGGCTCCTGTGTTAGGTCTCAAAGGTATACAATGACCACTGTGAAGACTGAAGACCCCTGCGACAGACAGCCCATAATTCATTTTTCAAAAAGTAAATGCAAAAGAAGGAGGGGAAAGGGAGGACACATTATGGAAAATTGTTTACTATGGATTTTGAATGTGAGCCCACTATACCCCAGTATCCTTTGCATGTGAAAGTACCTGGAGTATTTCCTGACAGGATGTGCTATTTGTCTAAAGCTACCCGAGCTCAGGCTCAGGTGTCAGCCTAGCATTTATAAATCTGTGGTTTATTTGTTTAGGTACACCTCTAAATAAATACCCAGGCCTCTGACACCTGGGCAGTGGCGTAGCGTGGGGGGTGCAGGGGGGGCCGGCCGCACCGGGCGCAACATCTGGGGTTAGGGCAAATCCACAGGTTAGGGGGCGCAAATCCACGGGTTAGGGGGCGCAAATTACTTGCCTTGCCCCGGGTGCTGACAACCCACGCTACGCCACTGCACCTGGGATGTGTGTTTTCAAGGCCTGCCCTATCCCTGTGCTTGTAATCTGTTTTGGCTGTTTTTAATTTGGATTTTTAAACTGTTGTAACCTGCGCTGGGACCTGCAGGTGAAGGGTAATACAGGTGATGCTGATGATGCTGATGCTAGGTTTATGTAAGATTTGGTTGAATGATCCTCAAGGCACCTTATAACAGATTATTGCAAAACACTCACTGGACAAATGACCAGAGTGTGCTGCCTTCCAGCTCCACTGTCTGAAATAAAATGTTATTACTTTTAAAATTATTATTATTTATTAAATTTATATACTGCCCTTCATCGCAAGATCACAGGGCAGTTCACAGAATAAAATACAGGCTAAAAACACAAGTAAATAAAACAAAACAGACACATTTAAAAGTCTACAATTAATATGGGGAGCTTTGGGGCCCTTTCTGATACAAACTGCCCTCTCCTGGGGGTACTTTGCAAGGGACAGGGAACTCATTAGAATTATATTCTATGCAGGTTCAATGCAGTGTGCTCTTTGTCCCAGCCCAAGCCAAGCTCAATGGGCTCAGAGAGAGGAGGAGTTTATAGTGTGTAAAAAACCTTTGAAAAACTCATTTTAGAACTTCTAAAAATGACTGATAGAAGGCCAGGGCAACCCTCATTATTACAAGTGATACACAAACCAGGTTTGAGTAGTGGGGAAGAGCCAGAGGTCCCCAGAGCAGAAAATATTAGACAGTTTATTAACAACAACAACAAGAGCAACGTATGTCTGATATGCAGAGTTTAAGAAATGATTGGAATAAAGAATTGGAATGTTCACTATTACCTAGACAGTGGGAAAATGTTGTGGCTTCAGTATTAGATGTATCAGTAGAACTTAAACTAAGACTTATACCAGTGTTTTTCAACCTTTTTTGGGCAAAGGCACACTTGTTTCATGAAAAAAAATCACGAGGCACACCACCACTGTGTGCAGAGAGGGAGATGTCAGAGCCCCGCTGCTCTCTATGGGGAATCGGATGAGAGCGGACCGCCTGTGGGCGAAAATTTGACATTTTTTTTAAAAAAAATCTTTCAAATTTTTCGATTTTTCCCACGGCACACCAGGCAACATCTCGCGGCACACTAGTGTGCCGCGGAACAGTGGTTGAAAAACACTGACTTATACAACAGAAAATAATATTTGGAATCTATTGAGCTCCCTTACATTTGTATAAGAAAGGACTATCTAATGTAGCTCTTTGTTGGAGACGCAATATGGGCAATATGTCTTTGAAACATATACTTTTACTGTAGAATCCATTTTCACTGTCTGGTTGTGAATTTTGATACAACAGGTATATAGTTTAAGAGCATATTCACCTTTGAAAATCTTAATTTTTTCCTGTTTATAAACAAGACACTATATATAGTCCAGCACTTTCTCCCAAAACTTAGTCAGTTTGGTGCACAGTAAAATATTGCACAGCTGATTCTATATGACACTGGATGTCACCTGTGCCGTGTTTGGTCCTCAAATATCATAGAAAGCCTTATGAAGGCATAAGTTGCCATCTGTTGCTGAGCCATAATGTCATCATCGCCTCTGGCCCAGGACTTCCAGTGATAGAGCTCCAACTTAGCTAAGGATTTGCTACGTGTGCTTCTTTATATTTCAGATGAGCAGAAAGAGCCCTGTGATCACGCCCTGGCAGGCAAAGAAGATGCAGAAGCAGAGGCTTACATCTTTCTCAGAAGTATCTATTCGGAGGTGAAACAGATGAGGGAACAGCTATTTCCCGAGAAGAACCAAATGGCTACCAATGCAGAATGGAACAGGATCATGGCTATTACTGAGAGCCTGTTTTTCTATGCTCGGCTGATTTTCTCAGTATTGTTTATAGCATACATTATTCTGAAATGGAGGAGTGAAATGTGACCACGTGGTTAGCTGTTACATAATAATTAAAGAAAATGTTATGCATTTATCCCATCTTTTCTTCCAGAAAGTTCAAGGTGGCATATAAGAGATCTGAGAGGAGGTATATGCACCATACATTTTAAAGCACATTCCTTACAAACAAAGAATAATGGAATTGTAGCTTACCTCTCACAAGGTCCACCCTAAAAGCCCAGACATGAAATGGTGCGCGAAGCACCTAATCTGCAACAACCTGCTTTCCAGAAGGCTTGTCCAATTATTCCCTTTATATATTCAGTCATTCTATCATTTATTACAATATGAATATTGCACGTCTCTGGTTGCAAAAACATTTGAGGATGAGGATGATATGGCACCTGACAAACCCAACGTAAAGAAATCCCAAAAACCAAAACAGGCACAGAAGTCTAACCAAAAGCAAACTCTTAAAAATAAGGTTTGCAAGCAGAGCCTCAGTCCTTATAAGGCTTTAGAGGTTTAAAAGCATGACTTATTTATATTAATGCAGTTTAAGAACTACAGAAATCACCTGGCTTCTCTTGATATTCTCTGTATGTAACACACGCACAAACACCCAGACACGGTCAGCACTTTCCTTCTATACTTCCCGCTGAGAAAGAAAAAGAAAAATATCAGCAACTTTCTTCACAGATAACAAACGCCAACCACGAAGGGACTCGAACCCTCAATCTTCTGATCCGAAGTCAGACGCCTTATCCATTAGGCCACGTGGTCATCCATGAGGATGCTCTGCAAGAAATCTTCCTTACCTGGTTCATTTCCTGATTCGGGCATTATGTATAAATGGTCCTGCTGAAAACTGCGGACAAAGTCCGCGGCTTATTTCTACCTAGTGCTTAAACTCTCGAAGGCGCTTTTTAAAAAGCAGCAGCGACAAACATCCCATAGAACAAAGGCATACATCGGAACATCAGCTTCCAAAATAATATAAAATAGGGGCAGGGTGACGAGAGCCTGGCAAACAAGCAAGAAAACCAACCGAAGTGAGTGGGCATGTTTGCATGATGCTCTGATTGAGCTCCCCTCTTGGATCGTGCCCATTCGACACTCCCCTGGGGTGCTCAGTGCGCGCCTTTACGCTGCAAAGCTTTTCCGCGTCTCCGTTACATCCTGCCCGCATCTCCCCTTGCCTCCCAGAATTTAGACGCGCAGCAGCATCAGGAGCACGCATGCACACGACCAGGCAGCCTGGACTCGGCTGAATGAATGCACGTGTGCGATTTTTATCCCGGCAACAGCAAACGGACGTCTCCCTGGTCCGGATCATCACGCTTGTTCATCCACATTATGCGGATCGTGAAGTGTTAAGCCAGGGATGGACAAAAACTTCTCTCCTGGCCAAACACAGCAGGGGGAGGGCAGCACGTGGCGGTGGGCGCGGCCAAGGCAGAAACTGGGTGGGCCCACCTTTCTTTCTTCCCTTAATTTATCCATTCTCTCTTCACCCTCACTCATACACACATCCATTCACAGGCATACCCACACTCTTTCCCTTTAGGTTTTCCCCCCAAAATCATTGGCTCAAGCCATTTGTGGTTATTATATTAGAATATGCAGATTAGGGTGCAATCCTCTGTACACTTACCTGGGACTAAGCTCAATTGCACTTGGTGGTAATTACTTCCAGGTAGATTAAGGTAAAATGTAAAAGACCCCTGACAGTTAAGTCCAGTCGCAAATGACTCTGGAGTTGTGGCGCTCATCTCGCTTTACTGGCCGAGGGAGCTGACGTTTGTCCACAGACAGTAGATTACAGGTAGATTACTTCCATGTATGTGATGGTACTGTCAGCGGGATTTTTCCAAATTGCCGCTGTATGTTCCACCGAGTAGGGTAAGGAATATGGTGTTGAATCTTTTCCTCTATGCCTTATTTGTGGCATTCAGCTTGTTTAATATTTTTAAACATGTCAGTCATTACAAGGCAATGCTTCCATTCCCCCTATATTTAGAATTTGTTCTGAAAATGATCTCTTTGTGCCTCAGGCCAGACCATGACTGAAAAGAATGTCATTTATATGTGGTATTAACAACAAAAAATAAAAATGGAGTATTAAATTATAAAACCAAATATCTGGTATTTTAGGTTAGTATCTTCTTTTATCGCTGATAAAGTTTCTATGCCTTTCATAGATTCATGGGCATCAGTAATTCAACAATTGCTATCCTCCTTATCACTACCTCTCCATGCTGGGGAAAAACCTGGCATTGCTACCACTAGTGCATAACACAGAACTGAAAGGGGGGCAGGGGTTGCCAAGTCATTTCAGAACTTCCACTGAGAAGATGGCTTATATTTCCTGTCTTTCATCAGGTAAACCCTATTCTCCACAATTTGTAATCCATCAAGCTGAACCCCGCCCACCATCTATGGACTATGCCCTGCTAAGTGCTCTTGATGACCAGAAACATGGCCACCCAACCTGTTTTTCATAGGCAGCAAAAGCAGGATTATCATGTGAATCGATCTGACTAGCATTTGGCTCTGTGACTCATGAGTTGCGTAGTACTGGTCTGATCGCAGTCGCACTGATCAAAGCCACAATATTGCTCTATGGCATTGTTAAGGCTTACAAGACTTTTATAGTGGTAATTTCGCTTATAGGCCAATTTAAAGATTTATACTTTTATAGCAAAAAGTTTTCAAACAGTTCTTATTGGCAAAGGCCACAAATCTCTCAAAGCTACTGCATTGGTGGCTTGCCAGGTGAACAGTATATCCAGAATGCCACTCCTGGAAAACTCTTGATACTTCTGTGTTTTAGCACTACGGTCAAAAATCCACTCAAAGACAGGCTCAGATATATTAGTCTTTGCTACGTTAATTTTTAAAAAAGCACCCCGGATAAACATTTTGAAGAACCATTCAGAAAGTTTATTGAGAGTACAGTATATATATATATATATTCAATAGCTCACTTTGTGCCTGGCTCAAGGAGGGGTGGGGTAGAACCTCCTCTCCTTTGTGTTCTTTTAATGTACAAAGTTTGGAACGCACCATGATGCAAAGTACTGGATGCAGGCTGGTGAAAATGAAATTCAGTCACAACAAAAGTTGTCCAAGGCCAATGATCCAGCACATCCTGGTGTTTGTGTTCAGTCTCTTCTGAGTGGGGTTATGCTCACTTTTAAGGATCAATGTATTAGTTCCAGTTCTGTTCCTGAATGCTTAGGCAGCGCCTTTTTTTAGTATTAGCTGTGTGCTAGCTGCACCCTCTTGTGGGGAAGGATGCTCGTGCCAATGTACTGCAGGCGACAATGCAGAGCCTTTCAAACACATTCAGAAACTGCAGAACATAAAAGCCGCATTATTAATCTGGACTGGCTACAAGAATGTGCTACAATGGTGCTTGAAGAACTTCACTGGCTTCAAAAATGTTGGTGTTGACCTTTAAAGCCATCCATGGTCAGTGATCAGAGCACCTAAACAATTGCCCACTCCGGGGTGGGGAGGCCCAGGACTGGGGACCAAATGGGGGTCCCCAAAAAATCAAGTTAAAGTTGGAATCTGGGGCCAAGATTAGCAATTTTAGCTGAACCACTCAGGCTTTCAATCCTCAAAAAAAGAAGTTTAAGGCAACAATCCTACACAGCCTTATTTGGGATCCCTACTGAACTCTATGGATCTTATTTCCAAGCAAATATGCACAAATCAATAACAAGAGACAAGACTAAACAGGACTACTAAGATTCCTGTAGAATTACTTTATTTAACATACTCCCAGGGATTCTAGAGTTGATGGATACGGCAAAGTTCTTTTGGATAGACAGCTCTTACAATTCAGCAATAGGCCTGTGTGGCCAAAATGGGTATTTTTCTTTGTCCAGCCTACTTCCTGGAAATGCCTCTTGGAAATCTTCCATTGTCATCTGATCAAAAGGAATCATGCTTCTAACCTTCTGAAGCTTGAAAAGAAAAGACAATAGCCCATCATTAGTACATTTTGAAGAAGACTACTTAAAATAAAAAGAACAGATCTTTATTAGGAGAACGCAACGTGGTGGAGCAGACTACTTACACCACGAAAATCACCAACTTACCTCTTTCTCATGCTCAACAACACGTTGCTTAGAGGCTTGTATGAAAGCAGCAGCACTCTTGTCCTGCAACACAGCAAATTATTTGCTTCGCATATTAGTGACGTTAATAATAATATTATTATTCATTATTTATACCCCGCCCATCTGCACCACAAACTGCGTTTTCTCTTGCCTATAATAATGCAAACTATCACCTTGAGGCTTGCAGCCTTGCATTAGACATGCCCCTACATTCCAGTTATCTTACCCCTTTCCAGTTTGGGTTCAGACCTGACTTTGGGACAGAATTTAGTCTTGGGCGCTCCAATAGATGACCTCCTTCAGGGCAGAGACAGGGGGGGGCACAACCCTATTAATTCTTCTGGGTTTCTCAGCTGCTTCTGATATCTTTGGCTACAGTATCCTCCTGGACCATCTGTGAGTAGGGGGGTATTGCTTTATGGAGATTTCACTCCTACTTACAGGGTCAGTTCCAGAGAAAAGTATTGGGTGACTATGTCTTGACACCCTGCCAGTTAATCTGTGGGATGCCCCAAATCACAATTTTGTCCCTAGTGCTATCTTCAGGAAGCCACTGTGGATGCTTATTAGGAGATTTGGGGCAAGGTATCTTGATGATATCCAGGTTTATCTCTCAGTAATATCTGAACAAGCCCTAGACCACTACCAGGATGCAGTCACAGGCTAATAAACTGCAAATGACTCTTAGCAAGACAGAGACCCTATGAGTAGGCAGTTCCCAAGTCTGGGAATTGGGTTGCGTACAGACTCTGGATGTGGTTGCCCTCTCTCTGAAGGAGGTATATAGCACGGGAGTGTTCTAGATCCGCTGCTAGCAGTGGTAGCCCAAGTGACCTCGTTGGCTCAGAGTAACCATTAA